CAATTTATTTAAGAAATTTTGATCCTATCTTCAGCCTCATTATTTCAATCAATACATTTTGATATTCTGAAGCCTATCATACAATCTATTTTGACGCTAAAGAAAATGAAAAGGGAAATTTCAGACATCATCAGAGTAAAGTAAATTGCATCATTAGAATTAAACCTTGTTAACTTTGTTAACTTAACTCTTACTACGTTGTAGAATTCAAGCTTTAACATAGAGCCAAAATTTCCACTCGGGAATACACGATTTACAGGATCGTTGCTGAAAACATAGAGAAAGTTTGTCCCTATCATGTCTGGTACAATCAATCACAACAATTAGTTATCTGAAATGTTGTAACCTCGAAATTCTGAAAAGTGTAACCATTTTGCCCGAGGTAGAAGTCTTTTACAGCAGTTTCTTCTGTACATAAAAGGAGGAGTTGAAATGACGGGTTCAGCGCAGCGAGTGCGAAGAAAGTCCGTCTCTTAATATCACGATGTAATCCATTCCGTCGCATAACAGCGCCCAATTTACCGATGCTATGCAGCGGCGCGCATATGCCGCGCGCCGTTGTCGCATAAAACGCGCGCGTCACGCTCGCGAGCTTGAAAACACGCAACAGCTGGCGAACGCATATGACGTTTCCCGTCTTCGTTTCTTGCTTGTTGTCGAGATGCCGGCGGTACCGGTGTCGCGAGAGGATCTTACGCGGATGGAGCCTCTCGGAACTTTCTGCACGACGAGCGGAAGGACGAGCGCTGCTCTTTCACCGGGACGAGAGTCAAATTAAGAACCCTCCCCGTCCGCGTTCCACGCGGATTTAGCCCTGGAGAAAAGTTAAATCCACTGATGGAATAATTTTATTACCTCTTCTATTTTCTCGCCGACCATCGGATCGGCGTAGAAGAGATAAAGAGAGAGAAGGGCAGATTTATTTTCCGTCCGTGACTCCCGTCCGTGCCTGATAACGCCCCCGAATTGATTCGGGATGGGTTATCCGATCGCTACTTCTGCATTTTACAAATTATCGAAGGTATATCTTGCGTCGTACAGAAGGGGATTGCAAAACGTGCGATTAGGATTGATTTAATTCTAACAATAGGGGATTAAAAATCAACAGAATCCAGTTCTATGAATCCGATTTGTGCAGTATTTTTCAGCACGCGCGCGCGATTCTATGTCGCAGACACTTAAAAATTTCAATCCGCGTTGACCGATAATAAAACCGATGCAAAAAAAATATGGAATCGAGCGCGGAGATGATCCAGCCATGTTGATTGTAATAATAGAGGACTGCAAACACGCGAGCTTTGTATATACATTTCTCGCGAAAATATTTGAAAACGCATGATGTTTCTCGTTCGGTACGCTACAGTAAGCGGGAAATTCAAGGTGATTCGACATATCGATCTATGACCCTGTCGCACTTCCGCGTTCGATGATTCGCGGGTTTTCGCGACCATTCGACGACGCTACGAAGCGGATGAGCGATTGACGAGAGGATGAGACCTTGCCTTTTGGGCGCACGGAAATTATGTCATTCCGTCAATTTCCGCCGGTAGTCGGCGGCGCATCGGCAAGATCTATTGAACAGGCCGGCGGATACTGGAAAATTTACGTAACTGGAAAGTCACTCGGCCACGTACAGATCGAGAGAGACATATTCCGATACCGTCCTCCGCACTCTTTCGTTCGAGACTGGTCATCCGTCACGGTCAATTCGCGCGATTCGCCAAAACTACATACAGAACCGTGTTTTCTTAATTCCGTAATGTCCTCGCGCCAACAGAAAAGAAACAGAGAAGAAGTCGTAACTGAATTTTCTGGGAACCAGATGGAAAACTCGGTCGTAGGGACAGAAAGATTCCTGTAGAAGGTTTCTACTCAGCAAACTGCTCTCTCTCTCTCTCTCTCTCTCTCTCTCTCTCTCTCT